ACATTGGCAGAGATAATCTTATAACAACTAAAGCAATTCATGGGTGGTGTATGCAAGCCGCATGACAATCGCACCTCCATAAGCCTCAAGAGGCGGTGAACCCTGGAAACCCGAGCAACCCTGCTAGAGATGCGGTAGCCAATCCGTATGGAAAGCAGGGTCAGGGCGAACGAAATCGAGGGAATGGTCCTTGGAAAAGGGAGTTGGGCGAGAGGCTAACTACCTCTCCCCGAAAAAAAAAAGTAATTGGGTATGAATGTTCAAAAAGCCTGGGAAACCAGACTGATCAAAAGAAGATGATTGCGCAAGAAAAAGAAAATGAGTTGAGAATTACGACATGGAATGTCAGATCCATGTCGTAATCTTTTATGGCACAGGTGCGATATATCTAGAACCTCTTTAGACAGATAGCATCATAGCTTTGCAAGAGGTCAGGTCAGATACGGGAGAAAAGGAAAGCATTCTTGGATAGAATTATTCAACATTCTACACATTAAGTCTAAGAGAAAAATTCTTCAACTATAGCATCCTATGTGTCTACGTCTCAACTGAGGAAAATAAGTAGACATTAAAGATATGTTCTACGAAGAGCTCAAAACGGCCTACAGAAAATGTTCTGGGAACAACGACAAGATGATCTTAATAACCAAATTAGAAAAGAGTCTCAATTTCAAGAAACAATTGGTAAATATAGTCTGCACGAAGAGTCTAAGGATAACGGGATGGATTGATAAATTTAGCAGCATCCTTTAATGTGATGCGAGACACCAATCATTTCTGTAAAGTATAATAAGAGCCAGAATCTCGAATGTCAAAAAAAAAAAGAAGCTGAAAACTTGACAAACTGAACATACAGAAAATTTAAGAACCAAACAGAAACATACTTTATTAAGAAAATATAACAAGGAAGCTTCAAACTGAGTTGAGGAATAGTTTAGAAGAGTTCTATTAGAAACGGCAGAAAAGTCCTTTGGGAGAGAGGAACTAAAGAAAGCTGTAACAGAAAGGTTTGCAAACACTTGCATACAATAACTGAATGGAAAAATGAAGCCTAAAGGAAAATGCAACAATGCAGGACCAGAAAAACAGAGGAATATAAGTATAAAGACAAGATACCTGGACCAGATAGAGGATGACACTTGTAACAGATCGGAATGGTGGCAGATGCTGGAACAGGCCAAGACCCACAGAGATTTGTCGGGCCATTGATGATGATGATGACAAATATGAAAATTTACTGGATACTCTATACTATTTAAAATATTGAGAATTCTCATCTAATCAAAAAGTGATTATATTCAGTGTTGGAATAAATTTTTTGCAATCATTCATTTTCGATCCCTCAGTATTAAAATGAAATGTTTGTAACAAAATTTTTCTTAAACACACTTTCGATTGTCTCTTAATTTTTTTTAACATTAAAATTGTTTTTTTTTTTTAATTTAACATGAATTATTATTCAAAGGTACACAAAACATAGGATTTCTCAAAGAATGGTTCAAATTAGATCGATTTTTTCTTTGATAGGAAAACAACATCTATAACATTCAAATATTCAAACTATTACACTTATAACAACAACAATGACAACTCAAAAATATGACAATTAAATTATTGTTGTATTTTCAAATATTGTTATTGGAATGATTAGATTTTTTTTAATTGGGAAAATTAACACATGTATTGTTCGATTAATAACTTTGTTGTATAATAAGTTAATTGTCATATTAATTTATTAAAAATTTTGTGCGAATTTGTGTTGCGATTTTTTTTTAATTAAGATGTTTTTAGATCTATTAAAAGATCATTTTATGGTTTCATGTTGAGCAAAAAAATTCTACCAGGTTTTGAAATGTTCTTTTCCTCTTTCACTTACAAGTTATAAACGCAATTAATTAACAGTGTATGTACCTGCAGTCGATCTTTTACAAAAAAATATATCTTCATAGACTATATATACCATATACATATATCTCAAATTAAGAAAAAAAATAATTGAAAAAAAAAATCTTTTTTTAATACTTTTTCATTTTTTTTTTATAAATAATTCACATTATTAGTAGAATAATCACATTTTTAGAAATGACTAATAAAAAAAACTTAAAAATCATAAAAAGGAAACACAAAAAAAATAAACTACTTTTTCCATCACTACAAAATGTAACAAAAACGAGTACATTTCAAAATATTCATCAGTGTTGTGGATTATTTGGTAACGATCCTTTTTCGTTTTTATTAATTTTTATTTATTTTCTTTTAAGTATTAAACACCCGTTATAATCTTATTTTAAATTTAAACAGATCCATCAATAATAAATAAAACATATTCTAAAAAATAATTGAGAAATTATTATTTCCTTTGTAATTTTAAATAATCGGTGTCCTAAATTGTTTATCCAAGTTAGGGAGACGCAAGCGGCCTTCTAAAACAACACAACATAATTAATTAACACTGTCTTAATTGTTTTAGATTATTATGTTTCAGTATTACATCTTTATGGATTTTAAACAATTTCTTTATGAAAGTTTAATTCTGATCGTAATTTTTTTTTAAATTAATACAGCAAAACCTCGATATAACGAATTAATACTAAGAAAGAAGTGTTCGTTATAACCAAAAGTCCGTTATATGAATAATTTTAATACACACAAAGTCGGAGAACTATAGAGGAGATAATGCAAAAAGAGCCGTTGTTGCTGAAAAGGTTATTCATGAAAGACGAGAGAAGAAGGTCTACAATGGTTTAAAAACGACTGCAGAAAGAACGACTTTTTCAACAAATCCTTTTTTTATATCTTTATATTTACCAGGTGTAGTTGCAAAAGGTGCTAATGAAGCCACTACATTCATAATGGAGTATATAGAAAAGTATGTTTCTTTTGATGTAAAAGACATCTGATTGTTTTCTGATTATTGTCCAGAGCACAACAAGAATCACTGTATAATAAAATCATGCATGGCCTTAACTGAAATTGAAAACATGCGAGGACATTCTTTTTTGCCCTGTGACAAAGATTTTGGAGTGATTAAGAGAAACTTACGAAAACTTGACCGAGTTTATGATGTCCATATATTCACTGAACTTATTATAATTTCTAGTGTTAAAAACGCTTTTACTGTAAAAGAAGTTGCAACGAAAGATAGATATTATAGATTATAAAAACTGGTGGCCAAAATACTACAAGGCTTCATGTGCTTCTGATGAAACTGAAAAACATTCTAGAAATGAAAGAATTCCATTTTCAGTGTCAAAATTTCACAACTTTGTTCATCAAGCAACAAATCCTGGCGTTATTAAGGTCAGTGAATATATCAATTGATTCATTTGGAACACAATTAAGCTGACTCATCCCAAAAGAGCGAAGAATATCCAGATACAATTGCCAAAACAAAAAGCTTACAATTATCACTTACCAATCTTAGAAACAAAACTTAAAAATATCAAAACAGTGCTTCAATGGGTATAAGACGATTATAATAGTATATTAAAAAACAAGTTTCGTAAGACACGTTTGAAATGCACGAATTCAAGTTGAAAAACGAGTGGCGAAGCCACGAGTTTTTTAATGAATGAGTGCTTTAAGTCTTATGAAACGTGTTTTTTATGCTATTTTTTGTAATTCGCGTTTTTATCCTATTTTTTTAACAAAAATAAAATAAATTTTGACAACGTAGGGAAGTAGGTATGCAGCAGTTGGTAACACCGTAACACTTGAAAATAGAAATTTGAATTGACAATTAGAAACTGTCAAAACACAAAATGTATTCACCTGAAAAAAAAATTTCATGTACACCTCCCAAAATAAGAGAAATTGCTCAGTGTTCAATATCCTCATCATTGTGGACTTTGTATTCGATGCTAAGAACGTGTTTAAACATCCATAGACAAAAATTGTCACATTGACAACTAGAAAAATTAGTGACCCAATGTCACCAACTTGAACTGGTTCCATAAAATGTTACTAAAATCTCATTACAGCATCGGATGCTGTAAGGAGTCTCATTACAGCACCCGTTTGAGTACTGTTAGAGCTTTCGTTACCGTCGCGAATTACAAAAACAATTTTACGAAGACATTCTTGAAAATACCAAGGTGAAGGAGTCCAAACAGACCAAAACTAAATAACTGTGTGCTATTATTTCGTGTGAAATAAAATTTTGAATTTATAAATGAAAAACTCATAAAACTTATTTATTTGAAAAACAACTTAAGTCAATTTTTTTGACAAAGAATTTTGAGTTTATTAAAACAAATGGACGATCGTTATTTTGCTTGCATATTACTTAAAGTACAAACCTAGGTTTGTAAAGTATTAAAGTATTTTAAAAAGTAACAGTTTTCATATGAAATGTTATTTTGGTTTCCTGAAAAGTTATAAAAAGTGACTTAAGTTGTTTCAGTAATAAGCGATTCAATTGATTTTAGACTTAAGAGCAAAAAATAGACGTGCTTGAACCACTTTTTTGGCAAAATAGATATGGAGAGGCAATTGAATGGTCCCAAAAATGGGTCAGCCCGCTTCTAGAATGAAGGAAAAACACCCAATATCAATAAGACATTAAATAAAATGGTTAAAGGAAGGGACAGAGAGTGTAAACATTCTTAGATTAAAATTGATGGAACATCATCAGTATCTATACTGTCGGTAACCTTGATCAGAGCCTCTTTAACCTCATTCCTGTCAAATTGCATCCGACTAGTGATGGAACGGATAGTGATTTTGCGAAACGGTGCATTTCTGAAGTGATATATATATATTGCTACATTATTGCGATATTTGAATAAAAATGAAATTAATAAGAAAGCTAATAAAATATGTCAACTTATTTGGATCCAAGATACAAAATAAACTTTTTTGATGCTGATTTAACTAACGAAGCAACTCTAAAAAGAGTATACTTTAATTAATAATTGGTGATATTTCCACAAAGATCCTTCAAGAAATGAATTTTATAGCGAATTTTGAAAGTTATCGATGAAAATTGCAACATCGAAAATTTTATCAAAACTGCAAATATTGTTTTCTCAAAAACTTAAAGTTATTTTTCAAAACGTGTTGATTCATTGCAAAGAGGACACTCTTATTAACACTTTGGGAAATTTTCAAACCCATGTTCCAAGAAATGGATTTTATACGAATTTTTAAAACTTAAACGGCGAAAATTGCAAAATTCGAAAAAATTGTGGATTATTTCAAAAATTTATTTCTCAAAAATTAAAACCGATTTTTCAAAAAGGCTTGTTGCATTAAAAAGGGGATATTTCAATTAATAATTGGTGATATTTCCACAAGGATCCGTCAAGAAATGAATTTTATAACGAATTTTGAAAGTTATCGATGAAAATTGCAACATCGAAAATTTTATCAAAACATCAAACATTATTTTCTCAAAAACTAAAAGCTATTTTTCAAAACGGGTTGGTTCATTGGAAAGAAGACACTTTTGTTAACACTTTGGGAAATTTTCATACTCATATTCTAAGAACTCGATTTTATACGAATTTTTAAAACGTAATCGACGAAAATTGCAAAATTCAAAAAAAATGGCGATTATTTCAAACATTTATTTCTCAAGAACTAAAAGTGATTTTTCAAAACGACTTGTTGCATTGAAAAGAGGATATTTTAATTAATAATTGGTGATATTAAAAAGAGGACACTCTTATTAACACTTTGGGAAATCTTCAAATCCATGTTCCAAGAAATGGATTTTATACGTATTTTTAAAACTATATCGGCGAAATTTGCAATATTCGAAAAAACAGTCGATTATTTCAAAAATTTATTTCTCAATAACTAAAAGTGATTTTTCAAAACGGCTTGTTGCATTAAAAAGAGGATACTTTAATTAATAATCGAAAGTGATAACAGCGACAGTTCTGTTAGTAATGAATGTGATGATGAATTACAAGCGAAGAGAAGAAAACTAGACGAAACTGCAAAAAGAAATTTTATATATCGTATTGGAATTGTTACAATGAGGTTTGTTGCATTAAAAAGAGGATATTTTAATTAATAATTGGTGATATTTCCACAAGGATCCTTCAAGAAATGAATTTTATAACGAATTTTGAAAGTTATCGATGAAAATTGCAACATCGAAAATTTTATCAAAACATCAAACATTGTTTTCTCAAAAACTAAAAGCTATTTTTCAAAACGGGTTTGTTCATTGGAAAGAAGACACTTTTGTTAACACTTTGGGAAATTTTCATACTTATATTCCAAGAACTGGATTTTATACGAATTTTTAAAACTTAATCGACGAAAATTGCAAAATTCGAAAAAATTTTCGATTATTTCAAACATTTATTTCTCAAGAATTAAAGTGATTTTTCAAAACGACTTGTTGCATTGAAAAGAGGATATTTTAATTAATAATTGGTGATATTTCCACAAGGATCCTTCAAGAAATGAATTTTATAGCGAATTTTGAAAGTTATTGATGAAAACTGCAAAATCGAAAATTTTATCAAAACGTCTAATATTGTTTTCTCAAAAACTTAAAGTTATATTTCAAAACGTGTTGATTCATTGCAAAGAGGACACTCTTATTAACACTTTGGGTAATCTTCAAATCCATGATCCAAGAAATGGATTTTATACGTATTTTTAAAACTTAATCGGCGAAAATTGCAATATTCGAAAAAACAGTCGATTATTTCAAAAATTTATTTCTCAATAACTAAAAGTGATTTTTCAAAACGGCTTGTTGCATTAAAAAGAGGATACTTTAATTAATAATCGAAAGTGATAACAGCGACAGTTCTGTTAATAATGAATGTGATGATGAATTACAAGCGAAGAGAAGAAAACTAGACGAAACTGCAAAAAGACATTTTATATATCGTATTGGAATTGTTACAATGAGGTTGCTAATGACAAACCCCACATAAATAAAGCTGTATTCAATGAAAAAAGTCCTATTGGGGTAGAACTTGATTATTATCTGCAGTGTCCAACACCTAAAAGATCTCAGCTTGCAATTGTGGCGTTGGTTAATTATTATTGTTTTTTTTGTGCCTAACGGTTGCTATTTTAGCTGCTTCTTTTCCTTTTCTTTCTTTTATTTTCTTCTTTCTCTTTCCTCTTTTCATGGATACTAGCTGTTCCTCCGGTTCCTTTCCCTCTACCATCTTTTTCCTACAATACATCAGGTGATACTTTCGTAATAATTGATAATTTTGTCTCGATATGCCACATCAATGCACAAAGTCTCAATGCTCATTTCGATGACTTTGTTGTTACATTTGAATCACGTATCTTTGATATAATCATGATTAGCGAAACGTGGCTTCAGTCCACTCTTCCCTCAGCTTTATTCTCCTTTCCAAATTATCATGTTATTAGAAACGATGGAGTGGATTGTCTAGATGGGGGTGTGGCCTTATATATTCGTGATCATTTCAATACTAATTAATATTAGTATTGCAGGATCCGATGGCTCACTGCAAAATGCTGAATATTTGCTAATTGAAATTAAGATCAATGGTTGTCGCATGCTTTTGGGCACGTTTTACTGTCCACCAAATATAAATTACTTTGATCAATTGGAGGATGTACTTGAGAAACACATCTGTAACTACGATAGCGCAACGATTTGGGCTGCGAAAGACCTCACTTTATTACCTCCTCCCTAAATCTCTTGATTCTGCCTACTCCACTTACTCATCACCAGCGTCAGATTCCCTTTTGGACCTTATTGTGACATCTTGTCCAGGCAGAATACTTTCTTGTGGTCAATTACCAGCTCCGCAATTTTCTAATCACGACCTGATTTACTGCGCGATTCAGGTCGGACGTCAATGGTACTCAAGTCGCACCATATCTACTCGTAATTACGCCCAAATCAACTACGAAATCTTGGTATCTGATGTATCGATTTTTTTAATATAGAATTGAAGAACTTATACGATCGTCATGCACCCTCAAAATTGCGTAAAACAAAGCGTTTGCCTCCTCCGTGGCTCAATAACGAGATCAGAGATCTTATGCGTAAGCGCAACGTGGCTAAGGTCTTTCTTCGCCGAAACGCTTCCAATATTAATAGAGAAAACTACTGCGTTCTACGGAACCTCTGTAACCACCGATGCAGAAATGCCAAAAAAACTTACATTTATCAGAAGTTATCTTACACAACACCAAAAACGTTTTGGAAGACCATGCGTTCTCTTGGCGTAATTGAAACTCCTTCCTCCCATAGCTTTGATTGTAATTCTTTAGGTGCATATTTTGCTAATTCGCCCATTACTCTCGACGAATCAATCAAGAAATCAACATTGCTCAATATCAGTGGTTCTGCTCTCGTCAATTCTCGGTTTTCCTTCACCTTGTTAGATGAGTCTCACGTTCGGGACGCTCACGCTGACAATGTTAGTATTAGGCAACTTGGACATAATTACTCCACCATTGCTTCATATCTTTAATTTCTCTATAGAGTCTTCGACCTTTCCTGCAATTTGGAAACAGGCCTGCGTTGTTCCCATTCCTAAGATTAAGTGCCCTACTCGCATAAGTGATTTTCGGCCAATATCGATCCTTTCCGTATTATTTAAGGCACTTGAACGGTTGATGTACAATCAAGTGCAGGATTACCTTCATGAGCATAAACTAATTACAGACTATCAATCTGGTTTCCGACCAGGCCACAGTACCACATCGGCACTCATCAAGGTTATTGATGATATTAAACGTAACTGTGACGATCGACGAATAACCTTGTTAGTTTTGCTGGACTTCAGCAAAGCATTTGATGCTGTGGATCATAGCTTACTGGTGTCGTCTCTGTCTGCTATGGGCTTTGCCCCTGAGTGCGTTCTTGGTTTAGGAGGTCATACCTTTCTCAACGTTGCTTTTGTGTGCGTGACACTGCATCTTTTTCTTCCGCGTTTCAAAGTCATAGTGGTGTGCCTCATATTGGGTCCACTACTCTCTTAAATTTTTATAAGCAGTGTTACCAAATTCATTTAATGCAACTATCACTTATATGCGGATGATCTTCAAGTCTATACATCAACAACTGTGAATGAGCTCCCGGTATCCATGGCGCGGCTTAATGACGATCTGTCCAGGATACTTCACTGGTCTAAATGTTTTGGCCTGAGTTTGAATATTGCCAAGACACATGCTATAGCATTCGGTTCAAAACCTTTACTTGCAACATTTTACTTTTTCAATGATACGCAACTGATACTTGGTGACAATGTTATACATTTCACCAATACGGTCAAAAACTTGGGGGGCTCTATCAACTGTACTTATTGTGTTTCTTCTATTTTTTTCCTCTTTGCTCTTTTTCTTCTTTTTGCTTAATAAAGCCATATTGATTTTTTTTACATACATTGCTGGTTGGGCCTTTTGGAAGACATCGCCTTTGGCGATAAACTGACCTTTTGTCAACATACACTATTAATTAATTCATTTATGTATACATATATATTATTTTTCTCCTGGATTGGAGAAGGATCAACAAACCGAAGAAAATAAACCTGCGAATAATGAACATACTCCGACACCGTCACAGACAACAGTTTCACTCCATGAGAGAAGGAATGACATCCGCATACATTTTTGACTTAACAAAAGCCCAAAACATCTTAGGGTAAGATTAAATATTGCTTTCAACTCTTCTAACATAATCCATATAATTATGATGGATTAGATACTTTGGACGGCTCCTTAGAATGAAAAAAGGGAGGTAGTCAAGTCGGTTACCAAAATGTTTCCATTTACAGTGGGTCTTCCTTATCGCCACAAATTATAATGCGATCATTAGGTTTACTTTCAATAATTAAGGTAAATTAATGTAAAAAATTCTTTAGGGAAGTAATGTCATAAACGCAACATGAATCATCGTGAATCCCGAGCACAACGTTACACCGACAGCGTCAATCCCAATGAACCACGGTGTACTGAAGAATTGCACGAAATTACGCGACCTTCAAGGTGGCGAGAAAATCCTTGGGAATGTCCGCACACTTCATGTGATACCAAGTCCAACACGACTCGCTTTTATATTTAAATATACTGATGTTTTAAACAGATAATATTAATAGTATGACTTAAAAATATATTGTTCATGATATCCGAGGTCCGTTATATCGAGGTTTTACTATTTTAAATGTTTTTTTGGTTAAGAAACAAACCTTTGACGACGATTATTATGACGACCTCTTGGTATAGTATAATCTCCTTGATAATTTTGTTGTCGTGGTGGTCGCACGTTTTGACCTCTTCCACCAGCTAAAATATTACAATGTTTTTTTTAACAACAAAACGATATAAATCATCACAAATTTTTTATTCAGTATAAATCATAATTTCCATTTTTATTTAATAACTTACCCAGAGAGGGTTGCATATGCGATCCAACAGGTGATGGAAATGGTAAAACTGGAGTTGAAGGTAAATTATACCTTCCCCTATCACTATTTATGTCTCCTGGGGTTGAAGATCTTGTTGAAACTTGATTCGAAGCAGGACTGGCTCGGATATTTCCACTCACCTTATAAAAAAAACTCTTTTAAAAAGAAAACAACGAAATTGGACTTTTTTTCTTACAGGTCTCATCATTGGTGGTGGTACGGAGTAGTTAAAAACCGGTGGAGTATTTGTGGGAGTTCTCAATCCAGCATTTCCAGTAACTTGGGCGTAAGTTGAAGAAACTACAGTAGCTGGGGAAGCGCTATCGCTAGGGCTAGAAATCGAGTTATTCGTTTTTTTATGTGGCTGATTAAACCTAGGACAATGTCTCGGCAAAGGATTCGAAGATGGCGCTGTTACCATCAATTGGCTAAAGTTTTGCGACAACATATTCATCTGATCCGGTTGGCAATAAACGGGACCGCTTATTTGATGTTGCATTGACGGTGTTGGAGGAGCACATTGCGGATACATAGGTTGGGAGTAACCCGTTGGAGGATACATGGTATTTCCATAAACGATATTTGGGGGGTACATGGGTTGGGGAGGGATTGGAGGAGGACCTTGGGCAACATATAAAGGTGCCGGATTTGGAGGAAACATTCCTTCAGAATTTGCTATTGGTGGAGCTCCATAAACTACGCAAGGAGCTGAAAGAAAAAAAAATTAATTAATAACAAATTATTAATGTTTAAAATTCGAATGCAAAATGGCATAATTTTTGACAGAAGTTTGCCTTTATAATGCTGTTTGTATCAAAGTGTTCTAGAATGAGGAGGTTATTACGAGTATTTGTCTCTGTTCTTTAATAAACCATAAATGTAACAAATGGGGCCTTTGTGCAATTGTACCATATCTGGCGTAACAAGAACATTTCAAAAAGAACACAACTTCGCTTGTTCAACAGCAACGTAAAGTTAGTATTTTTGTATGGGTGTGAAACATGGAAGGATACTAAGTGGATATCGAACAAAAGTATTTATTAATCAATGCCTGTGACGCATTATAAACGTGAGGGTCGGAGGTAATATCCAATGAAGACTTGTGGTAGAGAACAAATCAACGATCCAGTAGTGATCAAATCAAGGAGAGGAAATGGCGTTCGATTGGCCACACGCCGAGGAAGCTTGTTGGAGCAAGCAACACGAAGACGAGGGCGCCCAAGAAGGACGTCGAAGAGAACTATTGAGGACGAAGTAATGGAATCCGAGAAAACGTCTTGCAACAGGAAATAAGTGGGGCGTTATAAAGAAATTACTAAACCAGTCATATTTAGTATACTATCCGTGATGCACATTCTTGAATCTACTGATTTTCACAAAGTTAAAGCTATATACCATTTTAAGCTATATCATGAACTCTAGCTACCTTCACAAAGTAATAATAATAAATTTTATTATCCCAACGGATAATACATTGGTCATGTCACAATGTAATATTGGATTGTTTTGTTCTGAACTGAAAAATTTTAATCAAAAATTTGAGAGACAATTTGCAAATCTCAATAATGTTCAACAGGTTTTTGAATTTATTTCATTTCCTTTTGAAGAATTCGATAACGAGAATATTTCATCAAATCTAGGTCATACTTTTCAATTGTACAATCAGATACAATTCTGAAGGAAGGTGCAAAATTATTTTTGGAACTTATTAACAGCAGAAAAATATCCATTATTGAGATCGGTGGCAATGAGGACATTTGCATTTTTTGGTACCACTTATCTATGTGAAGCAACATTTTCTCAAATGATAAACATCAAATCGCAACTCAGGAGTTCTCTAGCTGATGACCACTCAATGGCATCTATTAGATTGTGCATCAGTGATTACAAACCTAATTTTGCAAGACTTGTTGATGAAATGGAATGTTAAGCATCTACATCAAAAAATATTTATCAATAAAGTACATTGCACAAAATAGTAAATACAATGTATTTAATATATTATTATCAATAAAGACCTTAATTAAATTTTTATTTGTTTTTAAATAAACCATTTTTCGAAGTCGATCGCGAATAAATAAGAAAAATTAATGATACTTAATAAAGCTATGACGTCACGGCAGGAGCAAGGAGGAACTTCCGGTCTAGAAAGTCTAGTTAGTTCTCCAATACCAACCTAAATCTAGTTACTTTTTCCCCCAGATTTAAGTTGGTCATAGGGGGATAAGGAGATTAACTTCTGATCGAGAACTCTTATTACTTATTTACTGTCGATCATACCAGTATTAAGTTTGCCCACCCCTGTTGTAAGCTAAGGAGATTGTAGTGATGTAAAAGCGCCGGATAGTTCAACTCACCGCGAGGCAGATAATAACCAAATTCCAGGAAATGGATGAATCTAATGAACTTACGTTGTACTTTTTCTATAGCGGTATATTAAAAAAGTCGGAGACTAAACGTTACAGCAGTATTCAATTTTGCTTCGCACCAGTGTAAAGATTAGAGTAAGTACTGTTTTATGTCTGCAAACTCTAAACTATTTCTAGTAACAAAGCTCAATGTTTTAAGGGCACTAGCCGATACTTTGTTAATATGTTTAGTAAAAGACAAACCTGTATTAAACCATATCCCGAGGTCTTTCACAGTAGAAATGCGCGACAGATAATCCGTTCCAATCTTATAGTCAAAGTAAACAATGTTCCTTTTTTGGCTGTACCTCATCACCTAACACTTGGATGTATTTAGTATCATTCTGTCAGTACACCATAAAAAAAGCCTATCCAGGTCCAAGTGAATCCATATACAGTGTCGTTCATTACCGATAGTGGTAAATAATTTGAGATCCGCGTAAAGAAGCACGCAGGCAAATCGCTCACAGACCTTAAATAGTAAATAGGAGAGGGCCCAGAAAGGAACTTTGAGGTACGCCACTAGTTCAACGTACTGTCTGCGATTAGATACATAATCGTCAACAACGAAAGATTCAAACAGTTAAATGCCCGTGAGAAATCAATGTGTATTACATCAACCTGTCCATGATAGTCCAGTGCGGTAGATAAATATTGAGCAAAACTAAGTCACACAAGCACATGGCAACTGAGAGTCTAACCTAAAAATTTATGTGGTTGTTTCCAGCCCGATCGTGTTTTCAATAAATTCGTGTCGGTTTGCTTAAAAACACAGGTATGGTGTGCACAATGTCTGGTAATATTGGTATTATGTAAATGTTTGTCTGTACATTTATATCTTGTTTGTGCTTATAAAGATACGTTTATTTAAAGATTTTTGTTCACGAGTTTCCATAAATTAAAAGTAGCTATAAATAGAACACATATAAAATATTTTTCTATGTATAATCACTTAGATGATAGCTATATTTAGACAAATGTTGTGCCAATTTTAGCCAGGATAGTTTTTAGCTTTAGTATTTTGTTGAAAACGGCGCCATCAAAAAAGAAAAAGAAAACAAAGGAAAGTATTAACAGATCTATGCAAAGAAATAAAGGTTATATTCATCAATACTCTGCAGAACAACTTGCACGCGCACTTCAAGCAGTAGAACAAGATGGAATGGCTGTGGCAAATGCCAGTAGTAGTTTTGGAATGCCTAGAATAACCTTTCGTGATAAATGGTAAAACTTCAGCAAAGATGGAAAAAGTTGGAAAAAGTGTTTTCTAGGTAAGAATAATAGATAATCACCGATTAAAAACTAAAAACAACATTGTTTCTGTAAAGAAACTACAAATTTACTTAGACAGCACTGTTCATGGTCAATCAATGTCAAATAGTAGCCCATGTTTTAGCAGTTTGATTCCTATATTATTTCTAGGTAAGGATATTGAAGATCAACTTGAACACTGGATATTGACAAACGCGAGCCATGGATTTCCAGTGGACAAGGAAGAACTAATGTATTCTGTTCAGCAAATATTGGAGAAGAACCGTCTTTGAACCCTTTTCGCAATGTCATCCTCGAATAAACCAATACCATTCGGAAAATATTAATTATTAATTAAATATATTAATATATTCTGCTAAAATTTTGCAAGCAGATAAAGTACCGTGTTCAGCAATGAAAGGTGGTTTATGCTGGAAATGGCCAGAGATAGCTGATATTATATGGTACTCATCTGCCAATGTCATTGAAGTTATACCAGAACCAGAATGTGTAAATTCTCGACGTTTATTTTCTGTACCCCAAATGTGTTACTATACCAGTATCTGAATATACATATATTATAATTATTAATCGTTGCACTTCTTTTTCAAATCATTACATCTTTATATAGTAGTTTTCAATCAATTAAATTCCCAATTTATCAATAATTTCAGTTTAGATTAAGTATGGTGGCTAAATAAAGTGGATACACCAGGCTATAAATGGTGATCAAGTGGCCATAATAGGAAAAACGGTAGTTTATGTTTTTTGTTCAATTTACGTTTTATTTTCTTAATTCTTTTCCACCAATGACCGGAAAAAAACTATATTATCTATCATTAAGAATATCTAACGACAATTTAATTATTTGCAAAATACAAGGCATGGAATTCAAAACAGTCCTTAAATTGGATATAAGTGACGCCGATCCTAGATTAGTGGTATCAGATCTACCTCTGTGGAAATCATGTTAACATTCCGACAATCGTGCCTTAGTATAAAATTCAATTTTGTTCAAATTGCTTTGCAAAGCTATTAATGATGGCTATTGGCCGATAATTCGTTACACAGCACTTATCTCTCTTCTTGAAAACCCGGCAAATCCTGGTCAATTTCTATATCTTTTAAATTCACAGTTTTTGATTTATTAATATACCTATTAGATTCTCCCGGTTCATCTTTGATGGATTAATAAAGGAATTTAGATGTAAAGATGAAAATTTATTAACTGTTTAGGATCAGTGCTACATATATTAGTATTAATACATCGTTTAAGCCAAGAATTTCCTTGCGTTTTTTACTTTCATATTGCATTCAAACGATGAATCTGGAAAATACATATGTTTTCAATTTTCACCTGATCCGGTTTTACATCATGTTCGTCTTAATTTTTAATGTGTGCCCAATTAACTTGTGATTTGATATCTGATTATTCGAAGAAAAATTTTTCCGTTGATTTATAGTGCCGTAACATTTAGTTGGATCGTTTATATACGAGATAATTTTGTTTAAACATTAATATTTGTAATGAGTTCAATATTTTACAACCTTCACCTGTAAACCCATCTGACGTCGTGCCTGATGACGACTCTGTTGTGAGTCGAAACATATGTAGCACTGATTCTAAACAATTAATAAATTTTCATCTTTACATCTAAATTCCTTTATTTGATTTATTAGGTTGAAAATATGTAAGAGAGGATTTAAGAGTGCAGGGACGTGGTCCTTGATTAATAATGCAGAAATCCCATTTGGGCCCATTGTAGCCCTTTTTATCTCACCATTATTTTAAAACAAAAACTGCTTAATTTAGGACATTTAATAAGTTGACAAAAATATTATTTAAAAGTGTTGGAAACGTAAAGAGATTTTGCAAAGGTTTAGGAGAGTATAAATCAAAAATTATGGTAAACATAATATTATCAGCATAAACCACCTGTCCTACGATTAATTTTTGATACATTCAAAACAATTCATGTGGAATAAAGCGATAATACGCTTTCAATGCAACCGTATCGAATTTAGTCCCGCATCTGTAAGTACCTGTAAGCTGTGTGTGTATACAGGAGGATGTTTTTAAATTGATTGGGTGATTTTTCAGCAAAGATAAAAAGGGTGTCTTTCATATAACTTTTTGTTCAAAATCCCTTCTCCTCCAAGTAATAGCCCTCTAAAGTTAAGGGAAAAATCTGCAACTTTCTTATCTCTTGATATTTTACAACTAACAAATCGTCACTTGAGTCTGTGTATTATAATATTTTTTTGTGATCAAACTAACAATTTTAGGAGAAAATGTTAAGAGACAAAAAAGTTGCGTATTGAATCCCTCTATTTAAATAGAAAAATGTAAACGAATTAAAAAGTTCTGATTAAAGTATTATAGGGGTTGATTTTTTCAGCCCCTTGTAATAACATTTTCGGGTTACAAAAATCGTCAAAAAGTGTCATTTTATTAGCAACAGTTATCTGCCAAATTTTATTCTTTCCCCTAACTTTAGAGTGCTGTAACTCGGTGGGGAAGGGGTTTTGAATAAAAAGTTATATGAATTAATTTTTGCTGAAAAATCACTCCTTAAAATCTTTCGCATCAATTTAGAAACACCTGTATACTAGTGAGTTATCCGGAATTAGAGTCATAGAAGGGTTAAGAATTGAATTTCGAAGTGATACAACACTTCTATGATAATATCTTAAATACGCTATTTGTTATACCTCAATACTCATTTTTTGTGATATAAAAAAGTAATATTATTACTCACTTTTTATTTATTTAATTTAAGTGTTATAGCTAATGGTTTGAATCCAAAAATAAATCTGTATTTTTTAAATATAGATAAATAAAAATAAAAATTAAAAAATATTATTAGTAAAATTTTTTTAATGTTTTGTTTGTTAAATTCTAAAATTTTTTGCTTATTAATAGAATATGTATACAAATACCAATTAGATGTATTGATACAATTTGCCAAAACTTTGTAAATAAATTATAGTGTATTAAATTAATAAAATATAAGAAATTCACTTCATCAATAAACTATTTAAAACTCTCTATGTAGTCATATTTCAGTAATATTTACTCAATTGTGATTACAGTTAACAACAAAATGTTATCTAACAATTGAATTGAATGTAACATTTCTTTTACAAAATGGAATGTCAGTGAATGAATCTGTTTCAACACAACATAACTTAGTTAGTTATGTCTATTAAGTAATGTATATACCAAAAACTATGCTTATTAGCCAACTTATTAGTTAAAAAAAAATTAAATAACTTACTTCCATATCTAGTTTGAACTGGTTGATAAACATGTTGAACCCAAGGTTGATTCGAACCAAAACTCATAGATCCATTATTTATTTGATCTGTAGAGACATAATAAGAAATTTCTTGTGAAGGTACCGGTTCCTATTTATAAAAAAAAATCTCAAAAAAAAGTTATTATAAAATTAATTCCAATATTACCCGGTTATCATAAGGTAATTGATTATAAACCATATAGTCATTTGATGGATACGAATAATTATAAGGTACCATTGGTGGATGTTGTTGAGTAGAAGGCGGCCCAGGAAAAGTATAAGAAGGAGCCGGTCCCAAATCAGTTCCCGTCATAATATACCCACTATTCGTCGTAATTGGTGAAGACACCGAAGATCCGGTACTATTTCCACTCCCGTTTTTCTTTTGCTTCCGTCTCGGTGTGCTACATTCTTTCGGTCGGGCGCCTTGTTTTGGAGGAGAAACGGATTTAGTTCCACTTTCAGCGTCACCCGTTGAATTATCACTTAAAACGACGACATTCGGGGGAACATTATCGGGGTCGAATTTATAAATAGATCCATCGGGATTACGAGCAGTCGTTCCGGTCTATAAAAAAATTAAAATTACTAAAAAAATATTACCTGCTAGAAAAATAAAATTCTTTTTTATCCAACCGTTTCCATTATGAATATTATGATCTCAACTGGGCAACGTTCGAACGTTAAATCACGTTCGATTCGTTTCTTAGTTCGTTTCTAAGCTTAAACTGCGATAAGTTGCTTATTAATTGATAAACAGTCATGCATAAAATAGTTGGTAAAAAAGAGATTAAAAAAAAGAAACAATAGTGTGGTATTTCAATTATTATCTGTAGTTATTTCGAAGAAATATAACAATGATATCGAAAAGTTGATTAGTTGCTAAAAAATTTTTATTTTGCAATCGATTTTAAAATCTTATTTTAATACTTAAAGCAGTTAATAGATTACAAAATGTTTAGAATTGAAGATGATATTCAATTTAAGAGAACTTATTTGATTCACGATAGTGTGCGATATTGTAAAGTGTATATTTAAGAAGTCTTTTTCAATATATTTTTTGTTTTGTAGTTTAAAAATAATAATTTGTCAGGTTACTCCGTTTTCTTAGATGTGTCAAAGCAGTAGTTCGCTTGGTAAAATGAATACATTGTTGCATCCATCGACAAATTCTGCGTCAAAACTACTAGTATGAAAGAGGTTTTGATTGTGTGTTTATTAATTGCAATTAGTCATGTTCGCTAGACAGATTGACGAATGTTTTCAAAAAAAAATGTGCGTAAAAAATAAATATTAAATATTTACAAAAATTCCTTCATACTGAGTTTCGACAGCTGTCTCATTGTAAAATTCTGATACAATTATTTAACTATAGACATAAAGTTAGAAGTTATTTAAAATGTGTTCTTTGAAAGCCATCCTCTTCGATTTTCATTTAAATTTGATCATCATGAATGACTTCAAAGCCTTGCATTATCCGATATCGTTTCGGAATTTGTCTCAAAACAGTAACTATATTCCAAATTACCGACAAAACACAGTCTTTCGTTATAAAACTAGAATTTTGAAAGTTATCTATTAAGAGAAAGTTAAATCGATTGAACTAAAAACGGATTCTTTACTTAATTTGAAAAAAAAAAAGTCTCTCCTTTTAATCTGGGCTGACTTGAAAGAAGAATATCCCGAACTATTCAACACAGTAATTATTAATTATTACTTTCTTGTCCTTCACTTAATTAAAAGATAAATACAGAAATAGATCTTCCAGTATAAGTTCTGACCTGAAACTAAGTACTGCTAAACAGTCTCAAAGTTCCTTTTAAATGGGCTTACATCATTGTTAATTTAATTAAATGTGTAAAAATTTCTTGCATAACTGGTAAATATAAAAATCTTTACGTATTATAACATAACAGCATTTTGTCTTCCATTTGCAATATTTATTATTCTGCCGCAGTGTCCAGTCTTTCACAAACAGAGTCTAGATCTCCAGTTGTTAGCACCATTAATTATTCATCCAATATTACAGTACCATTAACCATTTGAATATTAAAGGATATTGAAAAACCACTGTCGAAAAAGCCTGAACAGCATAACCGCGCTTTCTCTGAATGAGTCGAAAACATCGAAGCGGCGCAATAGCGCTTCTCTTAAGTCCATCGGTTGTGGACGCGCTTTGAGCTGCTTGGGGCTCAAACGGTTAATAGTTTTAATACTAGCAACAATGCTGGGAATGCGTTTTCTTTAAATATTAACAGACGTCCTCCTGTACAGTTCCTCTCTACCCCTTTCTCTCCTATAGCGCTACAATCCGCTATAGAACCATATCCTCCTTCAATTTTTTTTCTTTATACTTCTCTATCTCGTGCTTTTCTCTTCCTACATCCTAGCATTTCTTTTGTTCTTTAATTTTTCTGTTTATTAGCATTCTATTAAATCCTCTTATTTTCATCCTTAATAAAAAAAAACCCTTATAGGGCGGATTTTTGGATTCTGATGTAATTGGACAGATCTGGTTCCTTGGGTTGGTGATATAAGTTATAATTGTATCAACGTTTTATTCATTGCTTTCTTAAATTGGGCTTAAAATTCTTCTCAAAAGTTTTCTCTCAAATATATCGATAATCGTTTGTTTGTTTTTAAGTTAAAATCCATACTTCATAGATATTGTTTTTTGTTTAATTATTCATAGCCTATGCTGGGAAATTGAGGTCTAGTTTTTATACCTCCTAGGACGTTTGATTATTCTTGGTAAAACACTTAGATCCCGAACTTAATTCCAGTCTTGTATATCTCTGATATCCTCAATCCTTTTAGGGCCCCACAAGGCGCATCGTGTTAATGTCAGATATGATTTTATCCATTATCAAGATGAAGAATGGGTCTTAGACTGTCTCCCTATCTTATGCAGGTTTGTATGGTACTTTGCATGTCACTTCATTATTGGCGGTCAGCTCAACGACAATATTTATTAAACTTGGATGCACTTTTCTTTTTCCCAGGAGTATTACAACACCAGGAAGCTTTACTTGATCAAATCTTTTGTATGACCAATAAAACGTATGTACGCTATTTTTTTGTATTCAGTTTCTCGACAATTTGTGTTATTATAAATATAGTAACTTTGACCAATTTTTCCTAAAGAAAACATTTTCTTCAAGAATGTTTATAAATAGCTTTAGCTCGTGATTTTGTATTTGATTTGCTACCTGTGTTTATGTATCTTATTTCTATGGCTTCCTTGGACGTATTTATAATAATGTCTAATTTCAATTTGCTTTTTAGAGGTATTCTTCTATATTAATTTATAAAATAAATTAAATAGCCATATGTTTTTCTCAATAAAAAAGGCACATTTGACAACCACTTTATTCAACCTCTAGTTTTTGAAATACAATATTTCAACGTTACATTTTTTGTACAAAAAAGCCCAGATAATTCCACATCAAGGTATATAAAGTGAGGCACCGCTTCTATGTTGTCATTTGTTGATGTTTCTCTTCATCTGTAGCAGTAACTTTGTCTGCTTCGTGTTGATCCCAAGCCCCACCGCTTCAGCACCATCCTTCAGAATTCCATACGTCCCCTCTCTAGCGCTTAGTGTTCAGCTCATTATGCTTATGGCGTCCGCATACCCCGCCAACTACACTGATTTGATGATTAGCAAGCGTGTCCTCTCCAGCCCCATTTTCCTCATTACATATTCCAGCGCCAAGTTAAAAAAGCTGGGGTCCAGCCCATCTCCCTGCTTTATATCCTGCGAGACCTGAAAGTCGTCCGTCAGTTGGCCCTATATGCGTACACACGCTCTGGTACCCGTCAGTGTGCTCTGAACAAGTCGTATCAACTTTGCTGGGATTTCAAAGTGTTCCATGATCTTGAACAGCTGTTGTCTATTAATGGAGTCGTAAGCCTGTCTAAAGTCCACAAATATATTATACACGTCGACATCATATTCCAGTATCTGCTTAATGGTAAATATTTTGTCTATGGTGGCTATGTTCCCTTTCTAAATCCTGCATGTTTTTGGTAAAAGGTTGCAGTCTCTTACATAGCAGCGCTATGCCACGATAGTTTCGACATGCAAGCTTGTCTCCTTTATTGTATATGGGGCATATTACCGCCTTTCTCCATTCCTCAGGCAAGCTTTCTTCTTCCCAAACCCTCTACAGCAGTGTATAAATTCTTCTTGCCAACTCCTCACCTCCAGCCTTCAGCATTTCCGCTGGTTTGCCATCCATCCCTGGCGCCTTCCCATTTTTAAGCGCCGCAATTACGTCTTGAATCTCATCGATGGATATGGGCTCTTCTCCTCTTCTTGGTTTGATGTACCATTATCCACCTCCGTTTGGGATCCCATATTTAATAGGTTCTGGAAGTAATTTTTCCAGATATTTTTTTACCTCACCTTCATCACTCACTATCTTCTCTGATTCATCTCTGCATAGAGTTGTGTGGAAAGCTTTGGAGCAGTTTTTTCATTGTTTTGCATATTTCCTCTCAATCTTTAATTCTTCTGCTCATAACTTCCTTTTCTTCCTATTTCGCTTTTCTTTATCAAGGAAATTTCCTATTCAAAATGAGGTTAGATGGTGTTGGAGCCATCTCTTTGTTTTAGTTCTTGTATGACAAATTCATCTTCTAAGTACTCTTCCTCATTTAGTAGTGTTTTGATAATCACTAAATATATAATCGGGAAAAACCTGAAGCGAAACCTCAGGAACTCTGACGTGAACAAGTTCAAGTCGGTATTATCAGGGTGTTTGAGCGATATAAGGTTAATCCATGTCAATTTGAGCAGGGATGTTGCGGAACGATTATCGGTCTCGACAGATTCCCTGACAATTGCATATAAAAAGGCTTGTCCACTCCGTCTGGAAGCTGATTCAGGACGTGCCACTCTGTGGTGGTGCACTGAGCTCAGCGACCTTAAGAGGGAGGTCAGAGCAGCCTTCAATAAAGCCAAAAGCTCGAGATTAGATTCTGATTGGAACTACTATAAACGCAAAGTATCGGAGTTTAAAAAAAGTGTTCGTCGAAAGAAGAGAGAGACGTGGAGGAGATTCTGCGAAGAAGTCACCTCTGGGAACGAAGTCTCTCGTCTTAAAAGGGTTCTGGCCTCAAATCCGGACCGGCGAATAGGTTTATTGCAAAAGGATGAAGGATGCTTTATCGACAACCTTCTACAAAACTTACACCTTCTAATAAATGTGCATCAGGTTCGGTAGACTCTATAGTAGCTCATGGAGACACCAACCACACACCGACTGCAGAAGACTGGCTGTTAGCTGAGAAGATCTGCACGCAGGATAAAATGAGGTGGGCAATAAACAGCTTTTCACCTTTCAAAGCCCTGTTGCAGTGGGGATTGGAGGAATTGATACCTCACCTAAGGAACATCTTTCAGGGATGCCTGGCGTTTCGCTACATTACCAGTTGTTGGCGTGAGGTTTTGGTGAACTTCATACCTAAATCAGCCTCTCCTCGTTTTTATTAAAAACGTTAGAGAGACAGTGCAATCGTTACATAAGGGATGTCTGCCTTGTTGATAGACCCTTAGATTCTAATCAACATGCGTACACCCAAGGCAAGTGCACACTGACAGCTCTTCACAGTGTGACCAGTTTTGTTGGGAGGGCATTGTACTCCAAAGAGTACTCCGCCTTGGGAATATTCATAGATATAGAGGTCGCCTTTGATAGACGACTTTCGGTGGTATTAACGAGACTTTGGCTGAGCATAATTTTCCTTCTACCCTCTGTGGCTGGATAGAGAGCTCCCTCAGACAAAGAATCATCAAGCTAAGGGCTGGCAACGCCACCCTTAAAAAGGCTGTAACGCGAGGATGTCCCCAAGGAGGTGTTATTTCACCACTTCTATGGAACCTCATTCTAGACAGCCTTATTAAACGCCTCAAAGAGGCCAAATTCGTTACCGTCGGCTATGCTGGGGGTGTTATTTGACAGGATACAAGAGGCTCTCAATATAGACGAGAAATTGTGCGGAAGGCAAAAATTGTCGGTTAACCTCAATAAAACCGATTTAATCCTCTTCACATGGTTGCGAAAAATTGGTAATTTTCGATTGCCCTTGTTTGGAAAATGCCCACTGAGTTTGTCTAAAGAGGTTAAATATCTGGGTATCACTCTGGATAGCAAACTATCGTGGAAGTCACACCTAGATAATAAAGTAAAGAAAGCTAGTGTCGCATTTGGCCAGTGCCGAAAGGACACTGGGAAGACATGGGGTTTGTCACCCAAATCTGCCCTCTGAATCTACACGGCTGTGACACGACCTATGCTCAGTTATGGTGCAATAGTATGGTGGTCTAAAACCTTACAGGTTACCGCCACTACCGCACTAAATAGAATACAGAGACTTGCGTGTATGTATGTTACAGGTGCCACGAGGACAACCCCCACTGCGGCCATGGAAAACATGTTAAACTTGCCACTTCTACATTTATATACTCAAGAGGTGGCGCTGATTACCATGTTGCGACTACGGAAAGTAGGACTTTTCAAGGGAGATGAAACCGAAGGAAGTGAAGCACTTTGGAGGGAGGCGTTGACAAACACACCTCTATTGGAATGCTGCACGGACTATATACCGGCTAAATTCACATTTTCAAGGAAATATCTCACCCATTGTGGTTCCACAAAGTAGATGAAAATAACTGGTGCAGGAGCGGGAGTATTTTCTAACGACTTACAGCTCCATCTCTTCATATCACTTGGAGAAGGCATCACCGTCAAGCAGGTGGAATTAGTCGCTATAAAATTTGTTGCTGACTACATTGTCAGCTCCAATTACAGAGGTAAGACCTTTACAGTAGACAATCTGTTTTAGCTCTAAGCAAGGATAAATTTACCTCTGCGCTTATTATGGATTGTCATTTGGCGCTTGAAGAGGCGGCAACACTAAACAGTGTCACACTGCAGTGGATAAAGGAACACTCTACTCACTCAGGGAATAAGCACGCCAATAGGCTGGCAAAAGGGGCTAATGGGAAAGTGCCCTGTTCCCCTTTGCCGACAGTTGTCCCTTCTATGGTATCTCATATTGAGTTAATCAAAAGCCTAACCCACAAGAAGTTCCTTGACTGGCGGGATAGAGTTAAAGGGTTAGCTAAGCGGTAATTATTTTATCCCTCAGCTGACGCAGCACAGAAATTTGTATGGTTGGGTAAGAGCGCCTTACGGGTTATTACGGGACTTGTTACAGATCACTGTAAGGTAAATAAACACCTTTATAACATAAAGTGTGTCGACAAGACGGTTTATTACATCTTGTGTGACTGTTCTGCCCTCAAGGACCTCAGATTAAGAGTGATCAAGGAAGAATGGCCTACTACGGATGGCGTCAGAGCTGTATCCTAGCCTTTGGTAACTCGTTAGGCTGGTTGATATAACCGGAGTGAGTGTTGGGCGGACGCACAAGGGGCCCGTTGGGGTCAAGGTCCTGTGTGTGTTGCATACCCTCCCCTTCTCTTACATACATACATAATCAGTAATTTTTTGAAATATTCCTTTCAAATATTGTTAATTCCTTCAATATCGCTAATTATTTAACTCTTATTTGACTGTATCCATAGTTAGTAGTTCATTATCTATTATTTCTCTTACATGTATTGTCCGCACTCTTGTATGATTTCGTCCCTGTTTCGCCTCTGCATAGAGTTGTGTGGGGAGCTTTGGAGCAGTTTTTTCATTGTTTTGCATATTTCCTCTCCATCTTTAATTCTTCTGCTCATAACTTCCTTTTCTTCCTATTTGGATTGGATCTTCCTATTTCGCTGTTCTTTATCAAGGAAATTTTCTATTCAAAGTGAGGTTAGATGGTGTTGGAGCCAGCCCATCTCTTTGTTTTAGTTCTTGTATGACAATTTCATCTTGTAAGTACTCTTCCTCATTTACTACTGTTTTGATAATCAGTAATTCTATGAAATATTCCTTACAAATATTGTTAATTTCTTCAATATCAGTAATTATTTGAGACTCTTGTTGATCTGTATCCATAGTTAGTAGTTCAATATCTGTTATTTCTCTTACGGATATTGTCCCTCTCTTGTGTGCTTCTTTATAGATTCCTGTCCTTTTGTGTTATTGTTCCATATCTTTTATGTTTACATCATCTCTTTGTGCTACATACATTACAACCCCCTCTACTTACAACTACAGTTGGAGTATAATTAGTACTTATTTAAAGATTTATTAAAGATATGGATTAAAGATATATATAACTGTTTTCCATTCGCATAAAAATGTATACAAGGATAATTTTAATATAAAACAAGAAAATTATTTTTATTATTTTCTGAGTAAGCATAGAAAATGACCTCAAAGTTTAAGAATTAGAAAAAAGCAACATTTTTACCACCTTTATACATAAATAACTATAAAACTTACATTTGGATCAATAATTTCTTTTCCTTTAGGAGCATTATTGACATTAAATTGTACCCAAACAACTTCTTGTTGCTCCCCATTCGGTGAAGTTTGCTCACTTGTATTTGTTGCAACACTTGCCATTGAATCCTGTCTTAAAGAATCACCAGAAAATGATATTGAAGTAGGAGATGGTGTAACCGAACCGGACCGTTGAGATTGCGTTTTATAACCGGAGCTAGAAGGACTTAGTCTTGATGAACTAGTTGCAGAATCTAAATAAAAATATTTAGAGTAAAATTATGCCAGATTTTTTTTTGTCAAAACAATTTACCTTGTTTTGTTAAAAGTCTTGGACCATTTGAATGTGGATGATCTGATCTGGAATGAACACCGCCGTAACCACCAAAACTATAGCTTTTAGCCACATGTGGTCTTAATGTTTCATCACGCATTTCTTCAGAATGAACCTACACAAACAGTACATAAAATTAATGTATGTACAAGGTTATGACAAAATTTACAGTTACAAAGAATTTGAATTTGAAAAAGAGCAGGTAAAAGTGTGCTAAATAAATTTTAAACCAACTACCTGCAAATTCTTAGAGTTAAATAAAAAAGAATTAGAAGAAAATCGAAATTTTTGTTCTAAAAAATAATTTTACCTTAATAAGTCTATTTCCACATCTCGCATGATGATCAGGTGGTTGTAACCTAAATGACGAAGCATCACCTTCCATACTAGACCAAGATTGATCGTGCCACCCCATGTCTTCACTTGAAGCGTATTCACCCATCTGTAAAAAGTAAATAAAACAAATACGATTTCTACCTGCATTGTCACAACTCCCACTCTTTTCTAAAAACGTTTTCAAAGGTAAGAAATTACCTCTTTATTGTTAAAAATTCGTCGCCTCGCTCTTTTGTATTCCTCCTCTCGTTCTTCTATGCTTTTACTCCTTCTACTTTCGTAACTAGATTGTCTATCGGGCGATTTAAAACTGTAATCTTCCATGCTGTTTGAGTCCCGTTTTAAAATCGATCGTCTCGGTTCTTCGGTAAATCCGATATCATCTCGGATGTAACTTTCGAAACGATCTTCCGGTATACGAGTGTTACGAGTTTTATTGACCACCACGCTTTTACCGGAAGGTTCTATGTTATGGTCCATTCCGAAATACGCTGCAACGCGGTGTACTAACATTCTTTGGTAACTGGACATCGCGGGGAATTTAAAATGTGTTTTTCTATAATAAAAAATCGCAATTTCAAAAATAAGAGAATCTATTTGTGACGCGTATAAAGTTATGTAATGCTACCTCCCTTCCAAAATAAGTGTCCGATTTGTATATTTTATTTGTTCCAAAATAAGAATGAACTTTTTAAAAAAGTGAAATATAAGTAGTGCTATATTTTAATTTATTAACAGAACTGTATTAAATTATAATTAAACCAAATTTTTTATAGTATAATTTAAATAAAAATTATAAACTATTTAATGCCATCCGTGCAGTTTCAACAGCTTTTTTTGAACAAATTACATTTCTTTGTAATTGTCCAGTAGACCGTAATTTTTCTTTCTCTGTGTGATTTTGTAATTGTTACCTCCTTTATGAAGCATGGAGGACTCCATACATTTCTGTAGTGTCATAAAAACATTGTCTAATTTATATGCAGGTGTATCATCCCATGCCTTCAAAACAGCAGCAATTAATTCATCTATCTTATGCATCGAGCTTTTATGTTGTATAGACTGAATTGCATTAAAAAAGCCTAAATCAAGGACATTAAAGTCAGGGCTGTTTGGTGGCTGACAAATCAAACTAATATTCCATCCATCAGCTGTTCTGGCCCGAATTACTTCACCATCATCTATACTACAATGTGGTCGGGCATTATCTTGTTGAATTTTGATGGGCATCTTTTTGCTACTCTTCGGCTACTTTTCTTTTATAGCTGGAATAACTTTTTTGGTAATCATGTCCACATAAATTTGACGAGTAACTTCAACAGGTGTCACTAATGTCCCATGTACACGATTTTTAGAATTTCGTTTTCTGGTTCTTGAGTTACAATAGGCCATAAGCCTATTTTGCCATTAAATTCAGACTTTTTGTTGTAATCATATCTTGGACGAGCCATTGCAGCTAGGAACATGACTTTTGTTAAGAATCTTTTACTCTTACATGTTCGATGAGGTGTTTCTTCTTCGGGAAGAAGGTAGCAGTTTGTCTCAGTTTTGGTTATGTAAAAAAAATTTTTCATCAATATGAACAAACTCTAACATTGCTTGAAAATATAGGTTTTTGTAACATGCAAAGTGCAAATTCTAATCGACGCTTCTTATTGTCATCGGCCAAAACAGGTTTCAATGTACTTGAAACTCTCTTTATGACTCCTTCTTTCAAAATTCTGTGCACTGTTCCCAATGACTCGTTAATATTGTTACAAAGACTGCGGACGGTTGATCTTTGTGCTATGGAAACTTCCGAGATTTTCTTTTTTATACCTTCTCTGTCTTTACGTTTCCTTCTAGAATTTCCTTTTTTGCTGCAGTTGGTGTATTGCCACCTAGACTTAGTTTTAGTTCTTTCCTTTTGATTCAGTTTTGTACCATTAATATTAATTCATTATTATTATTGTGAACTGTAATTTTATTTGTATACAATTGGTTGTTTGTGGTACAGTGTTATTGGGTTCGACCTGTTTCTGTACCCACATGAGATAAATAAATAAATAATCTATGCTTCATAGGGATTTTGTTCCTTGGTTCTTAATTATTCATAGCCTATGCTGGAAAATTGAGGTCTAATTTTTATACCATCGTTAAAGAGATCTTCCTAGGGATCTGTTTGCTCTTTGGAGGATATTTGACTATTCTTGGTAAAAGACTTAAATCCCGAACTTAATTCCAGTCTTGCATATCTCTCTGCTATCCTCACTTCTTTTATGGTCCCACAACGCGCATCCTATTAATGTCAGTTATGATTTCAACCATGATCAAGTTGAAGAATGGGTCAGACTTTCTCCCTATCTTATGCCGGTTTGTATGGGTACTTTGCATGTCACTCCACTATTGGTGGTTAGCTCCACGACAATATTTATTAAATCTGGATGAACTTTTTTTTTTCCAAGTGTAGTCGTAGTATGTGGTCGGATGACTGCGGATGGTTGATCCTTGTGCTATGGAAACTTCCGAGATTTTCTTTTTTATACCTTCTCTGTCTTTACGTTTCCTTCCATAATTTCCTTTTTTCTTTGAGACGACGTTAGCTGTACAGGGTGTCCCAATTTCGATGTCCGCATAGGCTATCTCCGAAACTAAAAGAGATAGAAAAAAAGTAGCTTACATGTCATGATCTCGTTTTTCGAGAAAATGCTAATGCCGAAAACTCCGAACAGCTATCGTCTTTTGTTTTCGCCCTATCGGCAAAAACTGAAAATTTTGCGAAAACGACAATCGCGAATATCTCACTTATTATCAAAGATGGAGTATTATAAATAAAACATTATATGGGCAACTTTTTACGAAGAATTCAGTGGCGTAGGTAGAATTTTTTTCCCATCATTTATTTTCGAGATTTTAGACGTAACTT